TACTAATATCGGTGACCATTCTATAAATGGAAGGATTGCGGAGATCATGAGAGCGTACGTAGTAACGAAGGCAGTGGGCATCACGGCAATCGGACAAGGATGGAACATTCGCTTCTGTATAGAGGTTCTCAACAGGGGAAGAGCATAAACGTAATCCTTGGTGATGGATGAGGTTAAGGCTAGAGAGAGTAGCAGGAGAGGCCGCTGAATAGATCTGGTCACCATAATGGAGTTTCGACAAAATGAGGGCTGAATGTAGGCGAAGGAGAGTTCGACGATCAGCTCCCCATGAAAGATGAGCAAGGGTTTTAAGAAGATTCAGCCAGCTGTGACAAGTTGCCTTCAGAGAGGTAATGTGAGGTTTCCAGGATAACCTATGTTCAAAGAGAAGGCCTAGAAACCTGACTGTATCACGTTCAGGGATACAGGAGCCATAGAGGTACAAAGGATGATCGGAGATGACAGAGCGTCTAGTGAAAGTAATTTGATGAGTTTTGGTACTGGAAAATTTAAACCCATGTGTGGTGGCCCAATTGGAAACACAGTCGACCGCATGCTGGAGAGAAACTGTAATGAGGAGACAGTCAGCACCTGCACAAGCGAAGTCATCAGCATAGAGGGATGACCAAATATTGGATGGAAGACTCGAGGCCAGATCATTTATAGCAAGGAAAAAGTGTTGTGCTCAGAACACATCCCTGGGGGCCACCTTCAGCTTGGACAAAGTCCGGGGAGAGCACATTATTAACCCGAAACACGGAAATGTCTGTCAGTTAAAAAGTTCTTAAGGAAGGATGGTAGATTGCCTCGGAGGCCTAAGGAGTGGGCCTGGGCCAAAATATTGTACCTCCAAGTTGTGTCATAAGCCTTCTCAGGGTCAAAAAATATGGCAATAACTGAGTGGTTATTTGCAAAGGCATTACGAACATATGTATCAAAGCGTAGTAAGGGGTCTACGGTAGAACGGCCCTTACGAAAGCCATATTGACTAGTGGAGAGACTGTTGTGTGTCTCTAAATACCACATTAAAAGTCGATTTACGAGACGTTCCATCACTTTGCAAACTGCACTGGTAAGAGCAATGGGACGATAGTGGGAGGCATCATGTCATGCAGTACCTGGTCTGCAGAAAGGGAGAACAATGGCAGATTTCCACAGCTGGGGAAGAACTCCTTGTGACCAAATAAAATTGAAAAGGTGTAAGGGGACTGCAAGGGCTAACTGATGTAAATGTTGTAACATCCGAATATGAATGTCGTCAGGCCCAGCTGCCGATAATCAGCAAGCTGAGAGTGTTGCCTCCAGTTTCTGAAGTGTAAAAGGCACATTATACTGTTCTTCTCTGAGAGAAGAAAAGTCCAAGGGTGCTAACTCTCTGGCAGACTTTGAGGGAAGAGACAAGGGGCATAGATGGAGCCCCGAGAAATACGGACTAGATGATTGCCAATTTCAATGGCAACATCTAGAGGGTTTGCTATATCAATACCGGCAACTCGCAGAACAGGAGCTGGGCCAGGAGAGTATTTACCACTCAGTTTCTGTACTTTTTTCCAGACTGCACTCATAGAGGAAGCAGAGGTGATGGTGGAAACATAATCTCGCCAGCAAGTGCGTTTAGTGTCATGGATGACACGGCAAGCGATCGCACGCTTCTGCTTAAAATCAAGAAGCCTCTTAGTGGTTCTACTGTACCGGTACCTGCCCTATGCAGCGCGTTTCAAACGTACTGCATGAGCACAAGCAGGAGACCACCAGGGTACACACTTCTGAGAATGCCTGCCCGAGGTTTGGGGTATAGAATGAGAAGCTGCGGTTAACACTGAGGATGAGAAGAGGTGTAAAAGCTCATCAATGGAGGACGAAGAAGGAACCTCACTAAAAGCAGTTAGTTGTGAGTAAAGGTCCCAATTTGCTTGATCAAACTGCCAGCGTGGGCTACAAAGAGGTGGTGAATATGAAGAGGAAGTAAGAATGATTGGAAAATGATTGCTGTCATGTAAATCCAGGAGAACAGACCAGGTGAAGTCTAGTGCAGCGGAGGAAGAGCAGACTGAGAGATCGATACAAGAGAGAGTATGAGTATGAGGATCAAAATGGGTGGGAGTACCTGTGTTTAAAACATGGAGGGGGTGAGAAGCGAATAAAGCCTCTAACTGAATGCCACGGGAATCACAGTGAGACCCCCCAGAGAAAATGATGAGCATTAAAATCGCCTAGTAACAAAAGTGGTGGCGGTAAGGATGAGACAAGAAAGGCAACATCCGGGATAGATAATGCCCGAGAAGGAGAGAGATACAGAGAACAGATTGTATACCACTTACACAAGTGGATACGGGCTGCAGTGTAACGCAGCAAAGTACGAACAAATAGCTGAGGGTACGGAATATCAGTGCGTAGAAGAAGGGCACTCTCATTAAAGGTCCCATCAGAAAAAGGATCCAAAGAATACAATAAATTATAGCCTGAGATGGGATAAATAACCGCGGAGTGTAATTTTGGTTCTTGTAAGCAAACACTGACAGGGGAAAACTGGGAAAGCAACAGCTGAAGCTCACCCCGATTACCTCTGAGGCCGCAGATATTCCACTGTAAAAAGGCCATGATTGATAATGATAAACATACCAGAAATCCGCAGGTATGGGTGCCTATGGACTAGAGGGTTTTGAAAAGTCCATATGTGGTGGCAGCGGAAAACGTTCAAGTAATGAAGGAACAGAGCGTTGTGAAGAAAGGAGTTGCGTAGGTGTAGGAGAGGAAAGAGAAGGAACAGGGGGTGGATCAGTGTCCATTGATGGTTTAGCTTCTGCAATATATTCAAAGATAGCTTCAAGTGTTTCGGAATTCAAAGACGACGTGTGGGAGACAATACTGGAGATGGAAGGAGGAGGGAGAGTAAAGACTGGGACAGTAATGGATTGTACCAAAGTAGGGGGGGACGAAAGGGTGGAGGGAACTGGAGAAGTGTGGAAGGGGACAGAAGAGGCAGAAACCTGGGAGGTGGCAGAAGAGGCAGAAACCTGGGAGGTGGCAGAAGAGGAAGAAACTTGGGAGGGGACAGGGGAAGAAGGTACAGTACGAGGAGAAGGGTGAACCTCCACACTTGTAACAGAGCCTGTGAGAGGGGAAGAACCAGGTACAGATACTGGAAAGGTAAAATGTGGAGGTGGAAGAAGGGAAGGAGGCATTAAAGGAGATTTGAGCAATGGGGATTTTTTGGACTTTTGAGAAGTAGAGAGGCGATTGGGAGGAGGTGTCGTACGAGGTCTTGTCGATACCGGGGCTTGTGAAGGAGAACACGAAGATGTGAGAGCAGACTGAGGTGTTGAAGTAGGGACTTCTGAGCCCAGAACAGCAAAGGAATTAGAGACAGGAGTGACTATGGGAAGGGCAACCACAGAGGAGGCTGCAGAAGATGGGACCCCTAGAAGTAGGGGGACGTTTAGAAACACAAGAATAAGAAATATGGGGTAGTCTCCCCTGGAGGTGTAGATGAGAAACTGCCATAGCATAAGGGAGACCTTCTGCCTCTTTGAGGCAACGGATTTCTTGCTCATTTAAGTAGACCTGGCAACGGCGAGAGTACGAAGGGTGAGCCTCATGACAATTAAGGCAAGAGGGAGGTCGACTACATGATGTATTAGAATGGCCACTGGCACCACAGACTGGGCATTCGGCTATAGATCTGCAATATTTTGCTGGGTAACCGAATCGCCAGCAATTTCTACACTGCTGCGGTGTAGGGATCACCTTTCGAACTTGCAATCGATGTCCAGCTATATAAACAGAGGATGGGAGTTCACGGCTGTCGAAAGTTAATTGAGCCACATTGCAAGGGTACTGTCTCTGCCCACAGGCAGGAAGGACATAAGTGTCTACTTTGAGGAATGGGAGATCCTGGAGTTCCAGCTGTTCAAGAATGTCATTGTCACATGTCTGGAAATTCTGTTGGACTATGGTATGGGGCAGAATGACAGTACCACTACAAGAATTGAGGGAATGATGTTTTTCAATAGTGACAGGAATAGTATCGATATGTGAAAGGAGAGAAAGATCATGAGCTTGGGTAGCATTCTGGACAGTGACGATGTGCATACTGCTCTTGAGAGCATGAAAGGAAATATCTCTACCAACATGGCATAGGAGCGCCCTGCCAATACTATGGTCGGAAAGATAGGTAATAGAGGAAGTCAGTCGTAAAGTAAAGAATTTAGTCCGTTGTGCAGTCCGAAGCTGAGCATGGAAAGGGAGTGCATGACGTGTCAGTCTGTTCTGAGTAGAACAGGAAGGTAACGAAGTATCATCATCAGGCAATTGTCGTTGGCGTTTAGAAGTGGGACCAGGGTTGGTCCGACGTGGGACGGGCTAGCAATTCGAAAATTGCCGCACCATAGAGGGAGAAGCCGGAAGCATAGTCAAAGGAGGGCGGAGGTCAGACAAATCAAAGGAGTCAGTCGAGACCCCGGTACCTGAAGCTGGTGATGAAACAGCACCAGCAAGAGGTACAGGGGCATCAGGAGTGTCCGAAGAGTGGTCAAAAAACGAGGCAGGGTCAGAACGGGGTGCGGTACCAGTAAGGGGCCCGGGGGTAGCAGGTTCATGGACTAGGGCTTCCATGGTTAGGTTACTTCTTTCTTTTTGTTTTTAAACAAGTGGGTTATAGATCTTGGATGAAAATGACTCAAGTCTATTCGGGTAAGCAACCTTGGTTGTATTATTATTATTACAATCGAAGCTAAGTGCTAAACCCATAAGGGTTTAGCACTTACGGCTAAATTCCACAAGGACTGTATACGTCCTTCCCCAGGTTGCAACCCAAAAGTCAACTAGCTCCCAGCCATTATTTAGTATTATGTAATAAGGAGTGTAATAAATAAACATGAAGGAAGACCTTGCCTCGTCTAGGACTGGAGCTTTACTTCATTTTAAATATCTGGACCTTAATACTTTCACTCAGTTTATGAAGAGCAACTTCCTCTGCACATATTATGTACAGTAACTACCTTCGATGTCTTTATGTAGACAGTAACTTCCAACACAGCAATACATGGGCATATATAGGCTTTTGAGTGTACAGTGTCGTATCAAAGAGCTCAAACCATCTTAATAATCAAAGGAAAAACTTGGTGAGCCCAAAACGAGCACATGCACGGAAGTAGCATGTAAACACAGCTGATGTTTCGTTCGGAAACAAGTTTTGACTTCGATCTGTCCCATCTCACGAGAACTTATTTAAATCCATCACAGTACCACTTGCGCCACTATTTATAAAATAAATGTTATAAAAAAATTATAACATTATTTCATAGTCCGAGTATTTTCTTTCCAAATGTACTGATGTAAGTAGATAATCTAATCCATGGTTTACGGACGATAAAATTGTACAGAAAATATCCATTCTATATATTTCTTAATTACGTGTATAAAATTCTTGGCATCACAAAATCATGCAAATATTAATGTTCAACACGTCTCAGATATATAGATGATAGTTTTTCCTAATACTGTACTTGCATCGCCACTCTGCTCAAGCTTGGATGGAAAATTGCTATCACATGACTTCACTTTAGAAAAACAATTGTTTATATTTATTATCCTTCTGAAAGAAAAGATACGAAATTTAATGCAGTGTTTTTAGTAAATTAAATTATGCTTGGTTTACAAAAGGAAAAATAATAACTGTAAAAACGAAAATACAAAAAAAGTTAAGATCGATTGGCGGACCGAGGGCAAATTCTTAGGAATACACTTAAACAGCAAACTAAAATTCGATATACACACCCAAAATATTTCTCTAATAAAAAAACAAAAATCCGGAACGGTGGGCATTCTCTGAAAAAATACACTGTTATGTCCCCCAAACATTCCTGCTCACTTCGTACTACTCTCTAATTAGTCTTATCTATCATTCCCCGCCCCCTCTCGTATATATTCTGGCCTTAAGTAAGTTTATCCAGGTATACACAAATACAATTATATAGATTATCATACATAGCAGCATATGTGTAGAGAACCTAGGATAACCCAAAAAAGTCAGAGTGATTTATTTCCACTGGGGTCCTTCTCTACTTCTCACCTCAAAATTATTTCTCAGTGGTCCAAGTCGAACCGAAACGTCGTTTTTACTTTCCCTCTCCTAAGTACGGGTTATTGGTGTATTGTTCCAGCCACGGTACTGTGGCTTTTAATTAAGCCTGTATTAAGACTTTAAAAGGCTCAGAGTGTACTTCAGTGTAGCGACTCCTTACATTTGATAAATCAGTGTAATACATGTTCTGCTCAGTGTAACTGAACTATTAAATACGGTTACATAATTAATTTGTTTGCCCTAGTGTCATTGTTGTGTTTTCTAATACATTTTCTCGTTCAGACTGAAACTTTACTGCTAAATTCCCAGTATTATTTCATATTGCAGTGTTCATCTGTGGTGTGAGTGTGTAACTTATGCTTTGTATTTTTACTGTGAACAAGCTTACTGCTGCATAATGTTCAGTTTCATGAATACTTTCTCTCTTGAGTAATTCGGTTACCTTTCAACTGTGTTAAGCAAGAGTCACCCCTGTTAAATCTAGTTCCTTGCCCATCTCATCTAGGGGTTTTTAGCCCCTAGTTAAAATTGTAAATAGTAACAATTTGCAACATTATACTTCTAGTTATACTTTGTGTAAAGTTTTAGACTATTGTTTTAGACTATATTGTTGTTTAACTTCGACACCCCAAGACACCAAGAAATGACGGCAGACTCGCACTGACACATAAAAAACTATTAAACAAAAAACACTGGTAACTCTCCAAACTGGGCCAGTGGGACCTTGAGAAGTTGAGAGATTTATTACGGCCAGCGGTGTCCCACCTCACTATTTTTACATTAAAAGGTGTATTCTAGTGAAAAAATGTACACTTGGTGTATTTGGAAAACATTGTCATACATATAACCGTGTGTAAGTGAGTTTGTTTAGGTACTGGTTCTCACTACAGCTCACACTTATGCTTGCATACATATATAACATAGAACGTGTGAGTTCCCCAGGAGGGCCCCAAGGAAGCGACCAAGTGATTTATTCTTTGTCACTGTAACATTACCTATTTTATTTTTTTTTTTTTTTTTTTTTTTTTTTAGAAATATTGTTTACAATCTTGGGTTGGGGTAAGAGGTTTCTTCAGCATTCATTGTGAGCCCACAATTATTATTTCAGTGAGGTACATTGGGTGGCGTACCCTGAACTGACTAAAGTGGAAGTTATCATTGAATTTGAACCTTTTTTTTTTAAATTAATGTGATATTCAGAATTCTAATTTTATGCTCATATTACCTATTTTGTCTTCTCTCTCTCCTCCTTTTTCTTTTTGTTTTTTGGATAAGGTTAAGACCTCGCCTATACCAACCTTATATCTTTATATGTACCATATTATTAACACCATACAAGAATTCCGAATTATTTTTAGTAAGGTGTGTAAGAGATAAGATAAAAAAATTTCGTTCGATTTTTAACCCCGGAGGGTTAGCCCCCCAGGAAAACCCCAAAGAAAGCAGTGCGCATCAAGGATTTTCTAACTTTTTTCCTTTGGGGGTCCTTAATATTGCCCCCCGGGATGCGACCCCAACCCCCGTCGACTAACACCCAGGTACCTATTTTGCTCTAGGTGAACAGGACAATGGGGAAAGGGAAACGTGCGAAATGTTTCCCCCCCGGGAATCAAAACCCGGGCCCTCCTTTTGGTGAAGGGGGAGCTTTAGCCCCAGGCCACCGGGCCACCCCACCGGGCCAGAGTAATTGGGTTAAGTATAATTGGAAGTGTTCATTGAACTTGAACACTTGTGTCATATGATCTTTTTTTTAGACTTTGACTTTATAGTAAATATTTATCTTGCATAAGTTTAAAGGGGGAAGATAAGCGAGGAATTTTTGTGTTGTGAGTTTACACGAGATATCATCACTGAAAAAACATGGCAACTGTCATAGAGGAACCTATTTCAGCAGGTAGGAAATGATGATAGCTTCCCCAACCTTAAAAGTAAACAAAAGAGAAAAAGTGGGGGAAGGGCTAGAGGGGTCGACGTACCAATCATTGACTCGAACAATGTACAAAAACGTCCTTGGTGCACAAGGCTGAAAGGGATCTTTTCAAAGGAAAATGTGTTTTTAAGCTGAACTTCCCTGACAACTCCTGCTGCCCGCGAATTGCATGGGTAATGGAAGCGTAAACAAGCATCCTAACTCAAGACCAATTTAGGGAAAAAAACACACAAATTTTTGGGTTTTTGGAAAGAATGAAGAACTGATCAATGATCTACTTAGTACACCTTTTGGGGGTATTAACTGCTCCAACCTCCATCAGAAAACTCACCACTTTAAAAAATGGGGCATTATAAACTTTTTGGGTACCCTCTCTACATGGACCCATCCCCCTCTGCCCTTTAGTGAGCATACATCAAGCCTAAAAACTTAAAGGAAAATCCCCAAAATTAAGCCCGTTGGGGGGTCCTGCCCTTTCCCCGGGAAAATCTGGGGGCATGGTTTTTCGTTTCCTAAACTCGAAGTTACCTACCCCCTAAAAGTGGTGTTACAAATGCCCCCACTATGGGCCCGTTGCATAGACTGGGAATACACATTTTTGTGGGTAAGTGTGTGGGAAAAAATTCCACTAAGAATGCACAGTAGCCCCGAAGCCAAAAAATTTAAAGGGGATTGACTGTAAAGAATTAGGGTTACAGTTTTTCCCCAAAGACTGCTCAGACCCAAACAAACCCTTTGATGTAAACCAATAACAGTCCTTTTAAAGGAACTGAGGATGAGGCCCTCCAGTCTACCACACCGATCTGAGATGAAAACCCCCCGCAAAATGTGCAAGAACCTCACCTCACTACAAAGGTTCGGTGAATCAGAATGCCATCACACCCAAACCCCTGTGGGGGAGCAGCCCTCCTGCTAGCACATTGGAACTACGGGCTGCCATACTGATACCTATGGCTACACCGAATATGGGGAGAGTTTTTTATTTCCCAAAACACACGCAACAGACACAAACCCCACAGGTAACCCCCTGGAAATGGGGGATGAGTCAGCTGCACAGGACCTCCTGCAATGAATGATGAAACAGACTTGCCACAGCACCTCAGAGAACACTAATGTAACCATGGGAAGTTAAGGTGATAGGGGTTAAAGAAAGCACTAAAATCAAAAGTGTCATCCTCCGGAGAGCATTTGGGTTTGCCGACCTTCCTCATATTATAACAAATTTTCCCGAAAAAAAAATGAGCACTTTAACAATCCCGACAATTTAATAAAAATGTAATCAGGAGATCTCCTTTTACAGGTAATGAGTCAAAAGTGCAGCAACCCATTCGCTTCCAACAATTTGTAAGAAAGAACCCATGACTCTTTTCCCTTTAAAACTTGCCTTGGGAAATGGCTGCCAATATCCGAAAAAACTTAAAAATAAAGGCCCGAAGATAAAGACGTACAAACTATGCTATTTGCTCTTAAGTGCCTGCACACTGTAGTCAAAGCAAAATAGTTTTACCATTTTAATGAGCAAAGTTTGTAATAAACTCACACAATTGGATTACATTACAATCTATTATGGAACATTGTTTCCATAGGAAAAAGGTTGCCTGACCACATCATATTAGGTCAGACCAAGAATATGATGTATCTGTTTGCAGGATGTAGATTGAAGATGGAGCCTCCACCAACTTCCTGATATGCAGCTTATACCTAAGGTCACCAACTGTTGTGTGATGAAATGTCAGAAAGAACTTGCCACATTCATTCCTTTTCTTGCGAGTCGAGTTAACATGCAGTATCATGAGGTCAAAGTATATGCGGGCGATTTTTCCATAAACATTTTTAATCTCTATGCCCCAGCGAACCAGCTTCGCCCTGATGCTTTACCAGATCGCATCAAAGTGAACCTACCATCATTCTCGGAGATTTTAATGCCAGACATAAGAATATTGGGGTCTTAACAAACGCCAATGGAACTAAACTAGTGAAATTGCTAAATGAGCATGATAATGTTCGAATTGTGGGCACTACTGAGCCTACTCACATATATGGTGGCATACTAGATCTGTGTCTTGGATTTAATACATCATATACGATGCATGACTGTCATAGTTTATGATCTTCTATCTGATCACTTCCCAAAAACTAACACTGCCAATTTTGATCACATCTCCAGCAATCAA